CTACTGTGTGAGAGAGTTTCTGTTGGTTCACATTTTCATGCCCACAGAAAGTTCTCATGAGCAGCTTGATCTACTTGATGTTTTAATAAGCTCATATGTGATAAAAATAACTTTAAGTCACGTGTGCTCCTGCGGCTTTATGGTGGATAGATACCGAACATTATCTTACCCAGGTATAAAGTACGTGAAAACTCAATTCTCTTCTCCCCTAGAAAACAAATTATCCAGGCAATTAAACTCTTAATTTCTCTATGACAACCGGTGATAGAAACTTGTGAGGTCAATGAAAAGTTTTCGTCAGAATCGGAATGAGTTTTCTTAAGCATTCATTTAACCTATAAAAACAACATCTTCAGGCCATAAGCCCATCATCTAAAATACACTAAAACTGGAAACTGCATATTATGCTGGTTTCTCAAAACACCAAAGCAAATAATGTATCTTCTCTTTAAGTAGAGACTTTACTGGATAGACGGTGAATACTGTTAATGTTTTGGGCATTTTTTGGACCAAGAAAACAAGAAAAGAGAATAAGAGAAAATACCTGAGGAAGCATAATGTTAAGCAAAGTGGGAGAGAAAACCTGAAGATAATGATAAAATGACAATGCTAAGAAAGCCTATGGGATGCTTTGAATGGACACAGTGACTCACACTTTAACAGGGCCCTGCACATTAGCTAGGGCTTCCCTGGTAGCTCAGACAGTAAAGAGTCTGCCTGCAATGCAGGAGACATGGGTTCCATGCCTGGGTGGGTAAGATGCCCTGGAGAAGGAAATGGCAACCCACTCCAGTATTTTAGCCTTGGAAAATTCCATTACATCTATCCGGGGTGGGAGGGTGGGGAAGAACATCTGAATGAAATGAGTACACTTTATGAAATCATTACCTCAACAGACCCACCCTTCTGGTTCCTGACAAAATAATTATGTAAGTTTATGGATGACTTGGGGTGGAGGGGTGAGCTTAATTGTCAGCAGGCTCTTCAGCGGTGGTGTCTAATACCTCTGTGCTCATAAACCCCTTGGGCTTGCTGTTGATCAAGCCCTACACAGTGGGTTGTATCCTTCCTCCAATTTTTTTTCCCCCCTGAAAAATACATGAACACAAGATGCTCCAGAAAAGGTACTCTTCTGCAGTCTGATAAAGTCAGGAATGTGCTGTGCCCAGCATGTGCTGTCTTCACACGCTGTAGGGTCCCACAGTGAGAGGACCGCCTCAGCTTGGCAGCGCCTAGCATGGTCTGACTACAGATTCCCTGATTCTTTGCTCTGACACCTTGCAACAGCTTGCAAGGCCCCCTCGTGTTCTGTAAGGGAGAGTTGAAATACACCCCATCAGTCAATGTATAGCACAGCGGAAACAACAAAATCACTCTAAAAACTTTGTTGTTTTTAGGATGTTGGACGATTGAGGGGTGAAGTAGCATCATGTCTCCAACTTAACTGGAAGTCATTCAGCCAAAAAGTATTATTTATGTGCAGTATAGGTGTACGTATGGATATGTACACACACAGGGCGCACTCAAAATCTGCGAAAATGTTCATAATGAGTGAATTGCAGGTAAGGTGATAGTTTGTAAGATTTTTGAAATATCTCCTGGTTTGAAAACTTATTATATGTAAAGAGGGAAATCTATAACACAAACACAAGTGCTTTGATTATTTTGGACAGTGAAGGGTTTGCAATGTGTCAGAGTTGATTAGTAGAGGAAAAAAAAATTAGATTCAAAAAGAAGTAAGAGAGGGGAAAATTCATGTTGTTAACTGGAGGCGGCTATATACATAGAGAGAAGTTCTGGGGGTTACTGTTCCCATTGCCTTGTTCCTTTAGGGGTTATGTCTCCATTTTTAAGTCTCTTCCTTATACGCTACCATCCAGCCGGTGGGAACATTGCCCAGAAGATGGTGAGGGTGTCATTTGTGCTTATTTCTGTCCTGTGCACTCCATACCTCAGCGTGCCAGAGAAGCTTGCCAACTTGGAATGGTGTGATGTAGCCAAGTAGGTGGGGAAGCCGCCTGAAAAAGGGCTTTCAGGGTTTACTGGAGGGCCCAGCTGCTTGACCACGTCGAGGCAACAGCTTGAAAAGCGCCATAGCCAAGACTAACCTGACCTTGATCCTTCCTTCGACTGGCTATTAATCCCCAGCTTGTGCTGGCTCTGAGAAGCGCTGTGTAATAGATTGCATGTCATCTTGTATGCTTCTAGGGCACCCGCATCGGCATGCAGTATTTTCTAACATCTCAAGGACTTTAGTGAAGGTTGTAGCGCATAGAGGTGGGTGTCCCAAGCTTCAGATTCTGCCTGGCTCTATCATTAGCTGAAACAATATTGCGAACGTTGCTCTTGCCCTAAGGGAGAGAGAAAAATCATTTAGTTCCCTGCAGTTTCTGAGATGCTTCATTTACTATTGTCAAGTCCTTGCTAATACGTGCTTTCAACAATACTGGTGTCTCTGCACCCCACCCCGCCTCCTGTGTGAGCATTTCTTATTTTCATTCTCTTCTTCCTCCCTCCCCACCCCCTTTTTTTTGGTTTAACCTTTACAGTAGGTTATGAAAATTGTAAGTTGATTTTGTTCGTATTGCTGATACAATTTTTAACAATAAAGTCTCTTTCCTCCTTCACCGCTCTTGTCATAGTACACATGAAAATTGTCAGAGTTCTTGTGATCTTCTGTCACTTGTTATGGTATTTTGATAACTTTAATATATGGTTCTGTCTGTTGCATTTTATGATATACAGAAAACTTTAAGAATATGTGTTATGTCATTGTTGTATTTGCTAATAGCTATATAATACTCATATAGACTTGAATATCTTGCACAATAAGGCCCTAAAGCTGCGAAGAATTCTCAAAAATCATAGCTTCATATCACTACAAATAATTTATCTTCCTATTCACATTAAAGCTAATATTAATATCTGGAAATTAATAATTATAAAATATATTGCTAGTAAGTGATAAAATTATAAAAATTATAAAACTTGACATCTTTATCATGCTTTACAGTTTTTTTCTTTTTTTTACTTTAGAAATTTTGAAAGTATGATAACACATTCGCAGGAGACTTGGAAAATACAGAAGAAGGTTATATAAAGTTCTACTATATATTAAAATTATTTTTATTAGATAATTTAAGATGTTAGTTGGAATTTCAATATCAAACTCTCAAAAATTACTGGAATGAATATGCAGAGTATTAGAAGGCTATAGTAGACTTGAAAACTACTGATGGAGCCTGATGGCTCCGTGGTAAAGAACCCACCTGCTCATGTGGGAAATTCGGGTTTGACCCATGGTTTGGGAAGATCCCTTGAAGAAGGAAATGGCAACCCACTCCTGTATTCTTGCCTGGGAAATCCCATGGACAGAGGAGCCTGACAGGCTACAGTCCATGGGGTCACAAAGAATTGGACACAATCGAACGACTAAACAACAATAGCAACAAAGTAGAACTGAAAAGCAGTGTGAACTGATTCAATATAATTAAGATTTATATAATATTCACACAACAGTAGAATACAGATTCTATTCAAGTTCCCATGGGCTGGGAGACACTGGAACATACCCAGGGATATACAACAAGGTGCAAAATTTCCATGGTCTAAAGGTATTGAAATCATATAAAGTCTGTTATCTTATCACTGTGGAATTATGTTAGAAATCAGTATCAAAAAAGAATTGAAAATAACCCATAGCTTCATATCACTAGCCTCATATCACCACAAATATATATGTATAATTCATCTTCCCTTTCACAATGAAACTAAATATTAATCTCATAATTCATAATTGCAAAGTATCTTGCCAGAAAATAATTATAAAACTTGACATCTTTATTATGCTTTACAGTTTAGAGTGTATTGCCACCTCCAACGTTAATAGAGATGGCTACTAGACAAATGACACTTGAATATATCTGCAGAACCCCTTTTTGGAAGTTAGCAAAGCAGAGATGCATCAGACTTTAGGATCATTTCTGTTTTCTCGTCATTGCCTATACTATTTGTTTTTACTAAACCACACATGTTTGACTGTCTCAAAGTTTTTGCTCTTAATGATAAACCGTGTTTACTATTCATAATTTGTAGATGTTCTTAATGCTAATAGTAAAATTTTAAACAAATCCTTATGTCATGACATTTTATGATACCCCACCTATTAAGAAGTAAAGTGAAGACCAAAAGGACTATTTAGTAATTTTAGAAATTTGGAAGTTGGTTATTTTACTGGTAAGTATATCCGGATACAGTTGGCTTTTGTAGATGTAGAGGTAAACAGTTCAAAAGAAAATTCCCCTAGTTCACAGGCTAATACTATCCTGTATGGGGGTGTTTGAGAGAAATGATCAGAGATGTTTAGTTATCTTTTTCTAAATGTTTTTCCAGCTTCTGCATGTATTATTTGAATGACAGTTGTTAGACAGAGGGCACTCATGAAACGCAAAGCTCCCATCTCTGCACAGGATCGCTGAGTCTGCTAAGGCCCCGAGGGCTTGTGTTTTATCTTGTGTGTGACTTTGTGTTGGAAAGTCTTCATTGGAAACTCAGCAAACTGTGATCATACCATTCAAATCATGAGAAGTGGGCTAAAAGATACAAGTTTAAGAGGAAAAACGAGAAGCCTTCAAAACTGGGTAAAGATGCATGAAATAAAATTCGGGAGCAGGGGCCTCTAAATTTCAAATGGTCCTACACCGTCACCCTTTTAAAAGTGTCAACAGCAAAGTATGCGATTAATTTCCTTGTGTTGCAGATACCCTTAGCTAGCTCTCCCAGCAGCAGGCTGCTTGCTACTTTGCTGAGTAAGTCACAGGACTCTTGGCAAGAAGAAGGAAAAATGTTTCACTCTTGAGCAAAAAATTGCATTTCCTAAATTTAATTGTTGGATCTTCACTGTAACACTTATCCTACTAATGTTTCAAAATGTTCAGGAGGAGTTAAGTCTCAGTGTGGATTCTGTGTTGACTGGCTACTCCTTCTGCCTGTCTTCCCAGCAGGTAGACCGACCTACAACAGCTTTTATGTCTACTGCAAAGGCCCGTGTCAAGGAGTGCAGCCGGGAAAGCTCAGGGCGCGGTGTACCACCTGCCAACAAGCAACGCTCACCTTGGCCCGGGTAAGGAGGCGCGGCGTGGGCAGCGCGGTGTGGGCAGCCCGCCGGAAAAGGGAATGTCTGTTCCCAGACTGCCTTTCGGGGTTCTCATCAGATATCACCCGTCACCAGAAACTTGACTTCCATGTGGTTGTAATGATTAATGGTATCTGAAGTTTCCTTTAAAAATACACTGCTCTATAAAAGTGTGGGTAGTACAGCATCAGTACCCCCATTTCTTTAATCCAGGCCTATTGACAGGAAATATCAGTACAGTTCAGTTCAGTCACCCAGCCGTGTCCGGCTCTCTGAGACCCCATGGACTGCAGCACGCCAGGCCTCCCTATCCATCGCCAACTCCTGGAGTTTACCCAAACTCATGTCCATCGTGTCAGGGAGGCCATCCAATCATCTTACCCTCTGTCGGACCCTTCTCCTCCTGCCTTCAATATTTCCCAGCATTAGCGTCTTTTCCAGTGAGTCGGTTCTTCGCATCAAGTGGCCAAAGTATTGGAGTTTCAGCTTCAGCATCAGTCCTTCCAATGAATATTCAGGACTGATTTCCTTTAGGATGGACTGATTATATCTCCTTTCAGGAAATATAGAGTCTGCTTTTATAACACAAGGAGATTGGGCATGTCTTATAGAAGCAGATCTTATTGAAGATCGTGGGAAAGTTTCATATTTCAATCTGTGTGATGTGAACATGGTTGTATGCATAAGTCAAAATTTATTAGACTATTTATTTAAGGTTGGCACACTTGAGGTAAGTCATACCTCAATAAAAAAATGAAAAGGAAGTTGTGGATGCAGGACCAGTATGCATATAAAATATGGTTGGAAATCACAATGTACCATGGCCTCTGCTTGTTTTGCACAGCCCCCAAGCTGAGAATGTTTTGTATGGTTTTAAGTGGTTTGGAAACTTCAAAAGAAAAGTATTGCATGGCCCGTGAATCATGACATGAAGTTTACATCCCAGTGCCATCATAAAGTTTTGACATGTGGCTCCTCCCATGTCTGTGCACGTTGTCTGTACCAGTGTTCTTTTGCCCTGGATCAGGGTTGAGCAGTGTCAGCACAGACATCATGGTTTGCAAAGCCAGACGTGTTTACTCTCTGGCCCTTTAGGGAGACGGTTTGCTGGCCAACTTCCGATATAAAACCCCGGCACAGTGGTTCAGGGCCTCAGTGTGATAGCGGTGTAGAATTTGGCTAAAATGTTGTGGACGCTGATGTCTTTAGGAGATCAAAGGGCATTCTGATCAGCTCAGTGCTGAGATAGAGCCCAGGATACGCCAGAGCACAAAAATCTCTGCAGGCAACGGGGGCTGACGTGCAGAGCCGCACCCCCTACCCCTCAGGCCCCAGTCATGGCTAGTGCATTTAGATTCTGTTCTGCAGGCTATGGCACAAAGGCAATGCTTCACAGAGACCATGCATATAGGGATGTTTTAAGAATCACTGAGCTGTTTATCACTGGGACTGAGTATGGTGAGAGATTGCAGGCAAAGAGGTTAATTATTCAACTATATATAGAGTTCATAACTGAGGGCCTAGATTACTGCAGTATCCTGGCAGACAGGTCGTAAAGAAGGGCTGTGAGAGAACCTGAAGGATGCACTCATTAACGGGGAAATCGTGGCTCCCTGACGGCAAGCCTGGGAAAGTGGAGTTACTCACAAATGTAATTCAAAGCTTCATCACGATCCAGCATTTCAGCTCCACAGGGGGATCCACTGAGGCAGACAAACCCACAAAGGATGCCTAGGTTTGTCTGCACCCACTGGAGTAGCTCTTTTTCTGGGCGTCGCTGGACAGTACTTCCGTCTGGGAAACGGGCTGTTGTAAAGTTGCTTCTGTCCTCTGCCACAGGCCTTTCTCGGTGCAGTCCACAGCCTCTTCTGTTCCTCTCATCTGGACTGTGGTCCTGGTGGGCCTCGGCTTCCAGTGGCTCGTAATAAAAGACAGCAATAAAAAACCATCACTGAATCCTAAACTTAATTCTTTTCATGCAGCATCTTATTTAATTATTTCATAACACTCTGAGTTAAGTCCTATTAGTAACCCTACTTCAGATTTGAGAAAAATGAGGCTTAAAGAGATTAAGAAAACAGGAGCTTACCCGTGGTGGACTCTTTATGTCAATTAGGGGGCATCTGTTAACTGAGATAATGGTATCTCTGTCTTATTTGCTGTGAAACTTGTTTAATATATGAAAAACCCTTTGCACTGTAGCCTGAACACAAATACCCAGAAACCTTAAATGCTTTATTGTTATTTTGTTATCATTACTATTGTTATTATTTGTATATACTTAAAGCACATATATACATAAGTAACGTATACACTTATATGTATATATGTATATATATATATACACACACACACACACCACATACACCGATACATACTTCACATGTGTATTCACACACACACTTATGCACACTTCACTGCGACTCCAATCCAGCCTCTGGCTGACTCCTTTTAGAGAAGCAGAAGCACCTCTGCTTGCACCCTGATGATGATGAAGCTCCATGATGAAGTCAGGTCAGTGCGCCCCGGGACCAGTGCTTCCTTGGAGGGACGATCTCGTCCATCCTGTGGTTTCAGTCCCACTGCTTCGCAGATGCCCACTCTCATGACCAGCCCGAATTTGATCAGTTCCCAGAACTGCCCCACATCTGATTATGAAAAGCAGACTTTTATTCCTCCTACATTATATTTTACTCTGCACATTGATGAGCACTCCTTAAGTTTGTCAAGAACCACCTGACCTTTCCTCTCATCATTTCCTCTCCTGACAGACCAAAACTTCAACTGCATTGTTGCAGGTATCATTACATTTTTGTCTTACATTCTATGCCGCTATCTGTCTATATTCCAAGAGTCTATAAGCCTCATAAGATCAGGTAACTTGTCGGTTTAGATCCCCAACAAGGGGATCCAACCAACATCTCACATGGTGTGTGGCCCATCTCGGGTGGCGTCTGTATTTGAACTTGCACACACTGGTTCGGTAGATCCGCAACCTTTAGAAATTCTGTTTGCCTTTTCATAATTAGATTAATCATAGCAATTATGATTGCTTTGCCCCAATTTATTGACTTCCTTCCATTTATATGCTGGTGTTTTTATGTGCGTGCTAAACCGCTTCAGTTGTGCCCTACTTTTTGCCAGCCGCCTGTATTTTTCTCTCATTCTTATCACAGACCGGAGAAGAAGGTATCATTATCCAAGGTTTTTAACAAAAAGACTCCATGAAATTAGGTAATGAGTCCAAAATTACATGGTTAACAAATGTTGGTGCCAGGAGTGAAAATTATTTTCTGTGTTTTTCTCCAAAGCCCTAGCCTTTTGTTTTTGTTTTTTTTTTTTTTTAGGATAGATTGCATGCTATACAGATCTGCTAATAAATGTCCTATTATACAACTATTTCCCTCATATTTAAAATATCATTCAGAAATGCTCTTAGAAAAAATATGATGAGGGGTTTAAAGAAAATGGAATCAAAGATTGTTTATTTAATCCAGAGTTTTAGGACCGTTATTAGATGTATATAACTGGCACCTGGGCTTCCCTGGTGAGTCAGCTGGTAAAGAACCCGCCTGTAATGTGGGAGACCTGGGTTCGGTCCCTGGGTTGAGAAGATCCCCCGGAGGAGGGCACGGCAGCTCACTCCAGAGTTCTGGCCTGGAGAGTCCCGGGGTCAGAGCAGCCTGGCGGCCTCCAGTTCGTGGGTCGCAAAGGGTGTAACATGACTAAGTGACTATTTACACTCAGCACACACAGCTGGTACCCAGCAGACGAACAGCGTTTCATTTCCGTTTTTATTAAAAACAAAAATATTGTATTCTAACTCACAGATACGGAATCTAGAAAAATTGTACTGAAGAACTGATTTACAGGGTGGTAATGGAGAAACAGGCATGGAGAATAGACTTATGGGCATGGGGAGAGGGGAGGAGAGAGTGATTTGTATGGAAAGAGTAACCTGGAAACTAACATTACCATATGTAAAATTGATCGCCAACGGGAATCTGCTGAGTGTCTCAGGAATCTCACACAGGGGCTCTGTATCCATCTAGAGGGGTGGGATGCGGAGGGAGATGGGAGGGAGGTTCAAAAGGGAGGGAATATATGTATACCTATGGCTGATTCATGTTGAGGTTTGACAGAAAACAACAAAATTCTGTAAAGCAATTTTATCCTTCAATAAAAAAAAATAAATTAAAAAATAAATTAAAATTGAAGTACTGCCTTCAGACAGTACCTCTCTGGAGCAGCTGACTGATCACACTGACAGTTGATCTACAAGTTAAGCCTTGGTAATGACTTAGCAGGTGCTGAACTCACTAAAAGGACGGGTTTCTAAGCAGAGGATAGACAAGTGTTAGGGTTCATTCTTCCAAACTTTATAAAGATCTGCAACTTACACAATTTTATCTGGTCAGGAAAAGTAAAAATTACAGAAGAAATAGAATCTCATGTAGCTGACTAGTTAGGGAACAGAGTGTGGTTTACCTGAGCTTCTGCAAGGAGCTTTTTATACACAGAGAGAAAAAATCTACTTGGCCACTTGGCTTTTTTCTTTTTCTTTTTTTTTTTCGTTTTTTTAATGTAGTTTTTTTTTCTGGTCAAAAGAAATTAGTTTGGAATAAGCCTCATGCTTTTCATGAGTCTTAATAGGAACCTCCTAATTATTTTTTCTTATTGTTGGTAGTGATAGTGTTAATTGCTCAGTCGTATCTGACTCTTTGAGACCCCATGGACTGTAGCCTGCCAGGCTCCTCTGTCCATGGAATTTTCCAGGCAAAAATACTGGACTTGGTAGCCATTCCCTTCTCCAGGGGATCTTCCCCAACCCAGGGATCGAACATGGATCTCCTGCATTTCAGGCAGAATCTTTTCCATCTGAGCCACCACGGATTTATTAATAATTCCAACATTTCTTCACAATATTTAAGTGTTGCATGCAAAATAATGAGCTGTCTCTCATAGGTAATACTCTAAGGTTGACTTGT